GGCAGGGTGCAGGGGGCGCTGGAGGAGCCTGTCTGACAGCCGAGAGCCCCCCGCGGGCGCACGGGAAGGATGGGGGTTTGAGGGCTCTCGCGTCCCCGTCCCTGGGGTAACTCCCCTGGCTGAGACCGGCTCTGCGCCCGGGCGAGATGCTGGCGGGGCGATGGCAGGGAGGGATCTCGCACGTGCCGGGCGGGCGCTGAGCTGGGCCCTGTCCCGTGCAAGGGAGGAAGGTCCTGGGCGCGGAGGCACGGCCGTTGCGCGGAGAGGGAAAGGAGGTGGGTCGCGTGCCCTGGTGCCCGGCTGGCAGGGGGTGAGGAGGCTCTCCTATTTAGCACCGGGCTCATGCTTCAGGAGAGCGCGTCGCTGGTCGCAACACCGGCACCCACGGGATGCCAGCTTTAGCTGTCAAGTGCGCTGCCTCCCTCAAATGACAAGACCGACTTAGCTGCCATTGACCTTGGGTTTCCACCCCCCGATGAGCTGCCTCTCTCTGTGAGAGAAGTCCCTGGCACGGGATGAAGCTGAGGTTGGAGCTGTCAGTGGAGCTGACCTTCAAAATGCCAGCAGCAGCGCCGGGGAGATGGGATTCGCCACGCGAAAGAGCAGGAGTCAGTCCTGGTGCCGGGGCTGAAATGCAAAAGAAAACTCTCCGGCTCACCCTCAGCAGAGAGGAAAATGCTGCGGACGCTGGAGGAATTAGCAAGGAGGGGAAGGAAGGCAGGCGGGAGGAGCAAAGGGGGGAAAGCGCTTGGCGGAGGGGTGCTCCCCTGCTCTGCCTTTCCTGGGCTATGCCCGCTGACCTCCGCCTGCCCTGCTCTATCCCGTGCCAGGCATAAGGGGATGGCGGGACTCCTTGCTGCAGGACCTTGCCGGGCCCAGTCCGGGGGAGACCCAAAGGACAGCTGGACATTTGGAGGGATGTGGGGAGGGCCCGGTGGGCAGCGACTCCGGGAGCTGGCAGGGTGGCTGGCGGGTGCCTGATGCACCTCTTTCCTTTTGTCTGCAAACAGCATCCCCCATCTTTGCCAGGGACTAATCGTGGGAGGTGCTGGCCTGCAAGGCAGGATCTTGCTGCATCACACGGGGAGCTCAGCATGTCACAGAGCTGCGGCTGGTGTGAGCATATAGGCAGGTGGGTCACACGGAGCTGGCGCTAGCTCCACGAGCTGGTTGCCACATGTTCCCTGGGCCGGCTCATGTCTCAGTCGCTAGCAGGCTGCCCTGTGCCGATGGGAGAGTCACCCCACCGGCCCTCCTCACTCGTGGTCTTGCCAGTGTGACTGAGGAGTGTGCAAGGCAGCAAGGTTCCCCGCTTGCAGCTCGCCCCTTCTGGATCGTTAGCAGGGACTAATCCGTCTGTCCGCGGCTCCATCCTGTTCTGTGCCTGTTCCCGGCAGCAGCCCAGTGTCACGGTGCTGGTAGCAGTGAACACCTTCAGGGAAGTGTTAAAACTAGAACAAGGACCTGTCCCCTTTTTGCACGGACACCCAGGAGTGCAGTCCTGAAAGCGCCTCTATCGCTGTGAGGCTTGTGGAAACCTGCTTCTCTCCTCTGCGGTTTTGGGTCACAGACTGCCTGACGCTGTGTCCCAAAGGGGCCGTGCACCATTGAGCCGTTGGGTCTAGTTCCTTTCCGGCCAGGCAGGGCTGCTGGTGGCTCCTGGAGATGCCAAAAGAGCCGGCGTATTGGAACAGTCTTCCAAAAACCGGTAAAGGCGAAGCCAGAGGGTCGGGCTGTCAGTGTTGCTTTGGGAAGCACCGTGTTGTTTCGTGTTGAAAATGCAGCGTTGAATCCCAACCCCCCAACCCCTTCTCATTGCTGCATGGGATGTTGCTAAGTATCATTCACCAGCTCACACAGACCTGTGCTAATAATGCACCAGGCTTCCTAACCTCTGAGCATAATTCAGTGTGACAGAGTCCCTCATTAGCACGGCTGGGCCTCAGACCACGTTGCAAACGGAGCTGCGGTGGGCGCAGCAGCGACTGGAGATCCAGTGTGCTAAATACTGCTTGACCCCCTCCCTCCCTGTCCCCAAAAGCCTCAGTCCCGGACCACATCCTTCTGCAAAGGCAAAGTCTCCGCTTCCATGCCGAGATCCTCATTTTCACGGCTGCTCAGGCCTCACCTTTGCTAACTCCCCTTGCCCTGCCTTGCGTGCAGCTCTGCACTGCCCTTAATGAATACAGTGCAAAATGAAACGAACCTGCTGCAATGCCGGGGCACGGTAGGCAGGGAAGAGAAGAGGCCTGGTGATGCAGACCAAACTCCTGATCCGTTTGGCTAGCATGGCCCCAAAGCGTGGGAGCTGCAGAGCGTAGCGTCTCCTCTGCTCTGCTGCAGTTGCATTGGGCATCATCGGTGCAGGCTGGGCCCTGCAAGCAGCCCTGTGGGGTTGGACAAAGGGAATCCTAGGGAGTGCAGAGCAGTGCAGGCCGGTGGCAGGTCCTTAGCATGCCTATCCGGGCCCTTTCTGGCAGCGACACGGACCGGAGCCCACCGCATCTAACAGGCCTTGTCACGACCACATGGTGCCATCAGCGGTGAGCTCCATGGCACACCTTGCTGGTGGAGCTCAGCACTGGGCGTTGTGGCGGAAGCTGGCTGGGATGGAAGAGACTTGCCTGTAGTATGTGGCGGCATCCGAACCCCAAGACCTCTGGGCTTGGGCCTGCAAGTAGGATGCCTGCCAATGGATTTGGGAGATTTGAAGTCCCAGAGTAATGGGTCTGGGATGGAGGATGTAGCACCATACGTGGCTTTGGAACGAATGAGTTTCTGCCTGCTCAATCGATATGGTTTTTGGAACAATTGCAATCTGCTCAACCGATATGATTTAGAACTGATTTGGCTAATTTGATCTGGACTATGAAAAATATTTTAAGAAAAAAGTTTGTGCCAGTGGGAGTGGGGTTGGGGAAGGGGATGGAGTCAGGAAGGGAAGCGGGGAGGGGACTCCCCTGTGCTCCCTGGGGGACAGGGGTCCAGTTCTCAGCTGCCCTGGTGCTCTAGCTCACTCCGGTCCCACCACTGCCACCTGTGCTGGTTCATTGGCACTGGAAGCAAGCCCATGGACCCCTCCTGGGACAGACGTCCCTGGAGGCAGGGCTGGATGGGATATGGTGCATGCCTTCTCCAAGCTGCCACGTCCAAGCCAGCCCTGCTGCTGTGGGAAACCCCGATGCCTATGGAACAGCCTTCCCCAGGGGCAGAGCTCTCCCACGGGAAGGGCAGTCCAGCCCTATGGAGGCTGGCCTGAGCAGGGGGCTTGGCCTGAGTGTGCCCAGAGCTGCAGTTCTTTGGGATTATGGCCCCGGCGCTGCTCAGCCTCCCCACGAGCTCTCCTGGGAGCCAGGCCACCCCTGCCCCCCTCAGCGTGGCACGCCAGCTCCTTGTCTAAGTATAGTTTGGATGGGGTGGGATGCATTATTGATAGGCCTGTAATTTATTTATACTTTCATAGCTCTGACAAACAGCTCAGCCTTTCTCTACTAAATATAGCTTGCCCGCCAGTGTCTGTCAGGGCCCCGCGTGGCACGGAGCAGGCAGAGGGTGCGTGGGCTTGAGCTCAGCCGGGCGACACTTTGGGAAATGAGCCTTTCCAGACACCAACTCACCCTGCTCCTGGCCCGCTCTCCTGCCTCGTTGCTGTTGCTGGCCGTGTTGCACGAGCCTCTCCAGGCACACACGTGTCCACGCGGTCAGGCTCTCCCTGCTTTCCACATGCTAACAAGAGCAAGAGGAAGGCAACTCGCTGGGAAAGATGCAGGAGGTGAGCAGAACCCCCTGCCTTTCTCTCCCTCCTCTGGCAGCCAGATGTGTCCTGCAGTGGGAAGCCAGATGTGTGCAGCTGGATGCAGTGCATTCTGGGCTGTCTGTGGCTCAGCCACGCTCCAGCTCCCGGGCGCAGGGAAGCTGTCAGGGCATCTGTGGGTGCTGGGGCAAGTTTATTCCCCTTCCCCTTGGATGATGCACTGTGGCTCTGGCTGTGGTGCTGAGTGCCAATGACTGGTGGATTCAGCACCAGCTGCTGAATGGGCTGGGATGTGCCGGCCGGGTTGTTGGCTGCTTGGGCATCGTGTATCCCAGACTGTGAGTATCAGCCGTGCCACCTCTGCTGGGCCCAGGACGGTCCCCCCAGGAGAGAACCTCAGATCGTGGGTTTACTTGACTGTCCCCCAGAGCCCTCACTGCTCAGGTCTGTCCTGCAGCGTGGCTCTTGTTAGCCATTTGTGCTGTTGTGGTACCCAAAAGCCACTGCCAAGCCCAGGGCCCCTTCGTGCTGCATGCTGTCTGGACACCCCGTGCTTGGCATGGAGCTGGCATGCTCAATGGCTGGGAGGAGAAGCAGGATGGGAGTGATGCTCAGGTCTCACGGCAGGTCAGCGGCACAGCTAGGAACAGAGCCCAGGTCCTGGTTGCCCACCTGCCCCAAGCTGCCTCCAGTTTTCACAGTGTGCCAGCGCCTGGGCTCATTCTCATGAAGGGTTAACAATGGGATTTTGTCACCTGAAACAAATTTCTGCCAGGAAATGAGTTTGCGCCAAAGTTCAGGTGTTTCCGCAGGGAAGTCTTGCCTTGGAGGCTGGTTGCAGGGGGGGTTATTTTTGCCATCTAATCAAAACAGCCAGCAGCCTCTTTTCAAATTGGTAGCGCAGAAGGAAACCCTGGAAGCAGAACTTCTTAGGCCTTGAATGCTGGTGGTGCAAGTGGGAGGAGGACTGGTGCCTGTGCCCCTGAAGCACACGGGCTCTGAGCTGCCTGGGTCTCCGTGCCCGCTGTCTCCAACGTTGAGTCGCTGCAGATGTTCCTAAAGGCACCTGCATCTGCCCCCCACCAGCATCCCCAGCAAAGGGATTAGTTAAGTGTCTCCAGGAAGAGTGGTCGGACTGCAGGATCAGATGCTTCCAGTTCAGCCTGGAGAAGGGAAGACTGAGGGGGATTGAATAGCAGCCTTTAGCTGCTATAACTTTCTCATGATGGGGGGTGAAGCACTGCAGCAGGCTGTCCAGAGAGGTGGTGAGTCTCTGTCCTTGGAGGTGTTGAAGACCCGGGTAGACAAAGCCTCGGCTGGGATGATGTAGCTGGGGCTGGTCCTGGTTTGAGCAGAGGGGGTGGACTGGATGGGACCTCCTGAGGTCCCTTCCAGCTCTAATTTTCTATGACTGTATGACAATTAATGAGGCTGGCTTAGAGGCAGGGAAGCTGCAACGTGCGGGGCTGGGGGACCAGGTGCTGCCATCACAGTGCCCACGGCCAGCCCTGCCTTGCTGCTCTGGGGCATGCACTTTTGGAGCCCCTTGCAGCCCACAAGATCGTGTTTCTGTTGATGGCAGCAACCAGCACCAGGCATGCAAAGAGCTGCTCGTTTCCGCACATGTCTCTGCTGTTTGTCTCTGCCTCTGGGATCTGGCACCAGCATTGCAGGCACACAGGGCAGGGGGATAGGGTCAGAGCCAGGCTCCTTGGCTGTGTCTCGCCCCTCTGGGGTTGGAGCAGGGCATGTGGGGGGGCTGTGCCTGGCTCAGGATGTGGCCTGTAGCCCTGCCAGCGGCTCGGCTCCCTGCCCTGTGCAGTTGGGATGTGAGTTGGGTGCTGCTGTCCCTGCGTGCACAGGCAGAGGCAGACGGGTAGGGGCTGCTGGGCAGGGTCTTTTGGATCTGGAAGGGGATTTTACTGGTGCACTGGGCCCCCAGAGTTATGCAGTGCAGAGAGGAGCCCTGCCTGGTGCGTGGCGTGTGAGCATCACGGGCCGCCGGCAGTGACCAGGCCTGGGCTAGCCCGTCCAGGGAGAGACCCCAGGGTGGCAGAGAGGCGCTGGGCAGCGGAGAAGAGACAGCTGATCCCCTTTGCTGTACCAAGCCTGTGCCTGGGTCCCTGTCTCAGCTCCAGCGTGAGCCCAGCCGCTGTGAGCAATTCCAGCTCGCTCGCTCGCGAGCACCTGCATCGCGCAGACGGTATTTACTGACTCTCCAGCTTGTCTTTCACGAGTGCTGCCTCGCACTCCAGTTTATGGCGTTGTTGGCCCTGGGGCCCCGCAAGGCCCCGGCAGGCAATAAACCGGGCCGGGAATTGTCACTTCACTTTGCAGGGCAGAGCGGGGCTTGCAGCTCGTGCTCAGAGGCCCCGGCTGCTCCCAGCGGCAGGGCCAGAGGTGATAAAAGTGAAGGGGAATGGGCTGAAGGCAGGGGATGATAAAGCAGCGAATGGCTTCGTTTTCAGCGTTACAGCCAGGGGTTTAGGCAGCAAGGCTGTGCCGCTGTGTGCTGCCAGGAGGAGGGCATGGCAGGCCGCCTCACAGCTGGGTCTCCGTGGGGGTAGTTGGGGTGTAGGTGTGGGGGCTGGGTTGGGGGATCAACACCCAGAGCGGGGCGTCCTGCTGTCTCTTGCGGGGAGCAAGGTTCCCACGTGAGTGCTGGGCAGGTGCTTGAACCTACCTGTTCAGACAGCACCGGTGTCCCATGCTCGGGAAGGCGGTCGCCCGCTGAGAGGCGCGGAAGTGCCAGGTGGACAGACAGCACCCTCAGGACACCAGGGCTCAGCTCCTGCCTCTGCCTGGCTCCCCATGCCCTCGGGCAAGGTCCCAGCCCCTGAGCAGAGAGGAGGCTGAGAGTCTGCTCCCAGTCAGCCTGGCCCTGTATAGGGCTGGGCCCTGGGCAGCCCCCTCCTCATGCACAAGGCGCTGGTGGGCTCCTCGCTGCAGCCCATCTGGGTGCAGCGTAGGAGGTGGCACCGCGGGACGGGATGGCTTTTTCCTCCCCCAAAACCTGGGTGCAGCCTTCGCACGGCTCGTGTCCCCCCGCGCTGTCAGGATACAGCTCTCAGAGCTTCGCCCCTGCTAGCAGGCTGGATCTTTCCCCTGGCTCAAGTATTCAGTGTGATAAGCAGGCGATAATGAGGTGCTGTATTTTAGGCCTGAGGGAAAGGAATATTTAAAGGTGGAGGCCTTTCTGCTGGCCTTGTAAAGCGAGCAGCTCACATGTGCTTGGGGGAAGGATGCCCCACGGGAGCACGGGATACTGGGGCACTGCGGGCACAGATACCCGGGCACATGGGTAGCGTGAGGTGAGCTCGGGGGTGCACGTGCCGGGCGGCTGCCGCCCGTGTGTGCACTCTCACCCCTCAGGAGGCAGCTTCTGCCTCAGTGAAAGGAGGGCTGGTGACCTCACACCTATGGTGGGGTGAGATGGTGCATGGGCAGTGCCCTCCTCTGTGTTCACACCCAAGCTTACCTGGGGTCAGTTGTTTGTGTCCATACCTTTGATCTGCATCCCGGGAGATAACACTAGCCCCGGTCTCTGAGCCCTTGTCTGCTGAGATGCAGGCTCTTGGGAGCCCAGGCTCCTGTGCACCGGTCCCAGTCCAACCCCTGGCACAGCAGAGACCCCCCAGCTGTGGCCGAAGGCATGTTTAGCCCCTGCAGGAAGGCGGTGTGTGCGCTGGCCATGTGTCGCTGCATGTATTTCATGCACTGCTCTCCATGCACAGTAGGAGCTGAGACAGCTCTCAGTTACCCCGGTCCAGATCAGGAGCAAATCCCTGGACATCCATGGAGTCGCCACGTTGCAGCTGGAGCAGGCGAGGCCAGGATCACAGCCGCTGCATCCTGCCAGACAGGACCCCTGTTAGAGCCATGCCTGATGGCTGCCTGGAGCAGGACCAGCTGTATGTTTGCCTGGATAATCACAGCCATAGGTGATCCCAAGACAGCGTCTTCCCAGGGCTGCATGATTCTCCCAGGCAGGAGCTTTGTAGAGGGTATCATTACCAATGTGGTTGTTTTTCTCTCCCTGCTTTCAGGTGCACTGATGTTTGCCCTTCTTGGTAAAGACCTAGTCTGTCTGAGGCTGGCAGAGGAACCGGCGTCAGCTGCAAGACCCCAGTAAGAGGTAGGTAACTTTGCCCCACTGTCATTCGGGCAGCATCTTCTTCTTGTGCTTTCACTGGCCACGCAGCTGTAAGAATGGCTCTCACAGTGCTGTGCAAAGAGCGAATTCAGAAAGGGGCGCGTGTGCATGTGCACACGTGTGCACAGCCGTGTACGTGCATGTAAGTGCATGCACGTGCTCTGGGACCACCATGAGAGTAGTGCCCAGGCTTCTGCAGCTGCTGCTTCTGTTCTGCCGTGTCCTGGACCCCGACTGCCGCCGCACAGGGATGCTGGCGTGTCGGCGCTGCCTTCGCTGCCCTTCCTTTCCCCACCCCTGCTCCGAGTTATGGCGCTTCTTGCTTTCTGCATCTCTTCCCTCTCTCTTTGTGTTTCTGGCAGAATGAGTGAGAGAGACATACGCAGCTTGAGCAGATGGGGATTTGTGCTCACTCTCTGCCTTATCACGCTATGGGGAAGACTGACGCTGGCCTCCTCCCACCACAGAAGCCATTCAGGTAGGAAGAGCTCGCACCCTGGCTGCTCAAAGCCGTGGGACCAGCGCAGGGGTCTGGGGGTGGGCCCAGGCAGCCACGTGGCATCGCCGGCTCCGCTCCTTGCCAATGCCAGAGCCAGGCCTCGCTAATCCAGCCCCCCACGTGTAGGACTGAAGCAGAGGGAGGGCTCAGCCCTATTGCAGCAGACAGCCAGGCAGGAGGGGCGCAGTACCGTCTTCAGCATTCAGAAAGTGCCTCATGGGGTCCTTGCAGCGTGGCCGTGCTTTCCACCATGCTTTCCACGGCAAAGCCCGTCCCACGCGGGCCCGCCGGGCACGGTGGGAACGGCGTTTTCTCTGCAGTCTGCGAGGGGCTGTGGCGAAGGCTGTGCTGCAAGCGGCACCGACGGCGGGAGCGGGGGGTTGTTGCATCGATTGCACGGTAAAGCCCCAGCAAACGTGCTGCCTCGCGCCAGAGAGCACAGGACGAACGCTCTGGGCTGTTTTCCAATAAATCCGCTGGCTGGGTTATGACTTGTAAATATTTTAAAATGTGTTCCTTGAGAATGATTGTTTGGTGAGCCTAACCGTTCCTGGGATCTCATTATTAGGATTTGAAAACTGAATCACTTGGTGACAGTAGCAAAACCCAAAGCAGCACCTGTATTCTCAGTTTATTACCGCGTTAATTTTTGATTTACGAGCACCGTTAGTCAGCACCGCGGCCACGTGGGTCACCGGGATTGTCATGAAATACGGCTGTCATCGAAGGGATGCTCCAGACTTTTAAGCTTTCATTAAAAATATAAATTTTTTAGCCCTCCACTTGTGAAGATAATCTTGAAATACGAGCAGAGCGCAAGCTGACGTCGAGCTGAAAATCACACAACCTCAGCTCTGACATGTTCATTTGTCATCCGGCTGTACGGCACGCTGCGAACGTCCGTATCGAGCGCTCCCTGTCCGTGGGTTTCAGCGATACGGCGGGGCACACCTCTGTGTTCGAGATCTGTGTTTTGCAGAGCCGATGTGATTTTCTTGAGCGTGGGAGCGCAGATCTATAGCAGAAGTTTGATAAGGCAGGAAGTCGCGAGCGTCGGCTCGATCTCTCGTTCTTTTTCCGCCTGGCGCTGGGCATCCGAGGAGGCTAATGCAGGACTTTCAAGATAAGAAGAGCTCTTAAATTATTCAGCCCTGTCAGGCAGTGAGGCTCGGTGTGAGGCTGTGGGTTTCAGCTCCTCTCTGCGTTGCAGAGGCAGCGCTGTGGAGCTGGCAGTGCCGGCGCGGAGGTGGTAGCAAAGGGCTGGGGGGCTCGGTAGCAGGAGGTGAAAGGACTAATGGGTGGAGCATGGTGCTGCATGGAGTGAGCGCTGCCTCACGTGTGGCCGCCTGGCTTGTGAGGGTCTGTGGTGCTGGGAGGAAAGGCACCTGGGCAGCCCGACAGGGGTTAAAATGACCCCCTTCGTTGCCCACCCACCCTGCTTATCCGAGTCCAGAGGACACGGCCGTTGCCCACTGCTGGTGCCATCTCTAAAGCAAGCGGCGTGGAGGGCACGCAGCCTCCGGGCGCTTCCTGGGGTTCCTGAGCCAGGTTTCCCTCGTTGCCCCAGGTGTCCCAGCTAGACCCAAATGGCTGCATGCCCTCGGCCTTGGGGGTGCGCAGGCTTGAGGGCATCCCATCAGCCTGCAGCGGTGCCCAGGCCCTGTGGCTTCCGGGCCCCTCGTCTCGCTGGGCACGGGAGGAGCTGCAGAGAGACGTGACTGAGCGGCGCCTGTCTGGGGGGAGCAAAGGCAGTCACGGGGACCCTCCATGCCTAGCCCTGCGGACGCCGTCTGGTTGCAGGCACCATGCTTTTCTTCTGCAGCATGCCTTTCCAGTTTGAAAGCAAACCCCTTGCTTGCAATGGGCAGGCTGGTTTTTGAGGGGAGGGGAAAGCAAAAAGGGCTCTGATCCACATGATCCCACTTGCCCTGGTTTGGCTACTGCCTCCCCTACTTCCACGGTCGCTGCCCCTGCATTTTGGGAGCACGGGCACCTCCTCCCCGCACCGCTACGCTCCGGTCCAGCCAGAGCAGCCTCCCCCTGCCCGGCTGCCGGGACAGACCTTCAGGCCAGCTCCCCGATCCGGCGTCTACGCAGAGCAGACGCAGCGTGAGCCAGGAGAGGAGCAAAGGCAGCAGAGACCCGAAGCACCAGGACCGGGGTTTGTCGTTGCAACCTCAAGAGACCTGCGACTGCAGCAGCAAGAGCTGGCGCGGCTGCAGTAGAGACAGCCTGCCCCGATGCTCTCTGCGCTCGGGATAGGAGATCGCTAGGGGTTAACCTGAAAAGGCTCCTGTGTTTGCATGACCCTGTACCTAACCCCTGTCCTACTTCTGTCATCCTTTTCCCTGCCAGCGAAAGCGGCTCTAAGCCTATAATCCCCACCCGCATTGCTTAAATCCCAAACACATCGTCCAGAGAGACTCTGCCAACAAGCCAGTCAGCAGTTACCTGCTCTACGCCCTTTCTAACCGGTGACGGGCCAACGTGAAGATAAACCCGCGTCCTCATCTCTGGAGCTGCGTTCGGCCAGAGCTCGGGGCGTCGGGGATATCTGGGGTCTACCCGAGTCATCTCCCAGACGTGATCTCTCATGGGATTGCTCCAAGGGAAGCCGGGGACTGAAACCGCTCCTGCCTGGGGAAATATTCACATCAGACAGTCTCCAGGCTGGCTGGAGCTTGCTGGGAGACAGACACGAGGTGGGTGGTGCCTGGTTCGACAGCTCCGTGGAGGGTGTGATTGCCAAGTGATGCTCGGGCTGTTATCGCCGCCCGTCCCCAGCAAGCACCCGCGTGGAGGAGGGCAGGCTCATCGTGGCTATCAGACCCTCGCTCTACACCGATTCGAACCGACAAGGTGGAAATCGTGCCGTACCTTCAGTGCCAGGCATCGGAGCCGGGGACAACCAGGATGACTGCTGGAGATGCTCTTGGGAGATCTTTGCTCCTTCCAGAGCAACGCATGAGCAGAGACAAAGTGACACATGTTCACACTTGGGTGCCTATAATTAGGCATCTAAATAGGTGGCCTGATTTCCAAAGCGGCAGGCACCCACCGCTCCCGCGGCTCCCGCGGCTGCCACGTGGAGCCAGAACAGGCAGGCCCAGAACGGAAACAGCCGCAGCTCACCCGATGGCACTGGAGCAACTGCCACTGGGATTTTGGGGACGTGAAATCGGCCCGTGTTTCCCTGCACTGCACAAGCACGCGTGCAAAGGGATATATTGGCACGCTCCTGTCTCCTGTGCACATGTATGCACATGGGTGTGTGCATAAGCAAGTTTTACCTGCATAAAACAATCCCAGGATAGGCCAAATCTCACGGTCGTTACTCAGGCACGACGCCGGCTGGTAACACAGGGATGCGGTCAGAGCCGGGCCCGACTTGCATTTGTATAGCACGGTTGCTTTCCTCTGCCCTCCCCAGCTTTCCCGGCGCTGGAAGCATCTCTCTGGTGTGGAGCTGCACGACCCCCATTTCTCCTTGAGACGGGCTGAGTGTCCAGGTGTCCTGCCCCCGGCTCCCTGCCTTCGTGGGGCAGCTGTTTCTGCTGGCACAGGGGTGCTCTCAGCCGGGTGGGCACTTTGCTTCCCATAGCTCTGCACTCCCCTGTCTGTACCCATGGAGGCTGCCCAGGGTGTTTGCCTTCCCAGCTGGCTTTGCCAGCACACATTGGCTGTGCAGAAGGAGCCTGGCAGCCCTTCCTCCCTGAGAGCATCGTTCCTGACTTTCGGTCGGGTGTCTCCTGGCTGTGGGATGTGGGTGGGGATGGCGGGGAGCTCCCTTGGTTTATGATGTGGTGGCCTGGGACCTCCAGGACTGGACTCAGGGACCTGGGAGGGTCCTTTCTGCCTGATGTTGGTAAGAAAACCCCAGCTTCAGGCCTCGGGCATTCATTTAGGACCACAGCCACGGCTGGGGTCACTGGGCCCAGGCCCCGCTGTTGCTGACATTATGTCCTGCGCTGCCTCTCATCGCCGGGCAGGACACGTCTTGGCGTGTGCGTGGCGTGTAGCAGAGCGGCTCTGCAGCCTCCGTCTGAGGACGCAGTAAAAGTCCCACCAGACGGGCAGTGGTAATGAGCAATAAAAACAGCTCTGCCTCTCTCCAAAAGCCTCCTCAATAATGCATGCATAAAAGGCAGTAGTGAGTTTAACATCTTAATTATTTAGCACATACTAGTAGTCGAGTTGTACTATGCACGGGCCCGAATGCAGATGGCTCATGGCACGCATTGACCTGTCCTGGGGGGGCTGGGGCAGAGCGGACAGACAAGGGGCAGGGGAGGCAGTGACAGGCCCAGGGTGACATAGCAGGGCAGTGGCAGAGCCCAGGTCCTGGCTGCTGTGGGTCCATGATGAGTCTGGGCGCAGTTCGGCGGAGCAAAGGGTGCAAACTCCACCTCCCAGCAGGACTCCATTGTGGGAAGCAGTTGTCCCCACTGCATTACGGGTTTGCCTCGGGGCACCTGCCGAGATCCCAGCCCTTGCTGCCAGCATGAGCCAGCCGGCAGCGAGAGACAGGCCTGCCTGTGACAGCCGTGTGCATCCCCTCTCTGCTGTCCCAGAGCTGGCGCCGGGAGGCCAGCACCTTTCCTGAGTGCTTGCAGCTGTGACTGCGACCACGGAGGTGTCTGGGGCTTCTTCACACCCCAGAGCTGGCGTGCGCTGACCCGACGGCTGCAATAGCGGCAGCATGGAGGGAGAGCATTTTCCTGCCTCCGCAGCAGCTGCTTGTCAGGCACTTGGGCAGGGGGAGCAGAATTGTCCCCCGGTGCCCAGCTCCCCTGTGCAGCCAGCAGGGAGCAATGGGGACAGGCCCTCGGGCGCTGGTGCCTGCCCGGGGAGCTGGCCCCGTCTGCCCCCCGCTCAGCCTGGAGAGCTGACGCCAGCTGCTGGCTGCTTGCCGGTGCCCGTGTGACACCAGGACGTGGCAAAAGGAGCATTTGGCCCATAGCAGGTCAGGGCCTGAACGGGGAAGAGAGGACGGCAATTAGCGCTGCGTGCCCCCAGCCCCGTTCTCCCCTCGCCTGCAGCGGGAGGGTCAGGAGAGCGCCGTGCCTCTGTCGCCACCCTCTTCTCCGGCTCCCAGACAGCAGGGTGCCAGCTCTCGGTCCCTGCCATTGCTGCCCGGCAGGCACAGCCTGTAGTGATGCCTGGGGAAGTGGGGCTGTGATTTCCTCTGAGGGGAGCAGCAATTATTGCTACCGGTGCCAGTCCCCGGGGCCATGGGGCTGCCGTGTGCACGTGAGAGAAAGGCTCACGGCCCTTTGAATGCAGCCTGAGGCTTCATCGGGAGCAATTCCTTCAGGAGAGCTAACGAGCCCGGGCCTGGGACTGTCCTGGGGACTCCTGCCCACGGGGCTTGCCCTACCCAGCTGCGAGCACATTTCCCAGGCAATTATATCCCAAGACGGGGAAACCACCAGCCAGGGACTGCTTGGGGACAGCGAAGGGCAGCATTTCAGAGCAGCAGGCAGGAGGCCGGTCCTGGAGTAATGGGCTAAGCTGGCCAAACCCTCCCACTAAGGACGGCAAGGCCAGGCTGGGCTGGGGAGCAGGATGCGGAGGGGACCAGCAGCTCTGGCCAGGCTGTCTGGCCAGGGGAGCGGAGGGGAGGCAGACCCCGCAACAGCACCCTTGCTCCCGGGAGAGCCAGCACAGCAGGGCCCTTGGCAATCTGCACGAACGCTCACAATTAGCCAGAGCCGAGGATCCTCCATCACTCCTTGGCTTATTTGGGAATCCCATTTACTATTAAAAATGGAGCCAAACCCAGCTGTGTTCGCTCGGTAACAAGCTGCTTTCCTCTTCGCTTGCACCAAAGTCCATCGTTTCATTTTGAATCAAACCTTCATTAAAACTGAATTACGATGGCATTTAAAAGGGAGAGTAAAATTTATGGGCAAAGATGTTATTACGAAATACTTCCAGGATAGGTAATTGTGTAATTATTATGGGCAGGGATGAAAGCGGTGGTTCATTAGCAGAAAATGACCATGAAATAACAATAAATAAAACCAAATAGAACCGGTGGTAATTGCAAAACCTGGACCGACTGCACGCCCGACAGCGCTGGGCACGCTGGCATGTTGAGCTTAACCCCTGAGGGGCGGTGTCTCGGGCTCTGCAGGATATGCTGTACCCTCTCGCCCAGGCATTTGCATTATGGTGTCCTGGTTCCTGAGACGACGCAGATCCGCCGAACGCCAGGCCGCTGGTGCTGGTTGCCTGGCTCCCGATTCAGTGGGGAGCAGAGGGGTCTGTGCTTTGAATCTCTACCTTTCCAGAATGGAGACATTGAATGGCTCCAGCAGATTTATCTTCCTGAGAAGCTGGCGCTGGGGTGTCCTGATGTAGGTGAGATCAAGGGGACGAGGGCAGGGCCGGTTAGAAATGACAAGGGTCGTGCATGCGCCTGGCTGCTAGCCTGATGCTCACCAGGACGGCCAAGGAGACAGGAGCACGTGGCAGGGCAGAGGAGAGGAGGGTGAAGGGACCATCCGAGAAGGTGCCCAAATGAGGGCACTGGGCTCCAGAAGGGGACAGGGTGGTGGACGGAGATGCGGCGCGGAGCGGGGTCAGGCAGTCTGCGGGCACTGCCCCTGCCTGCTGCTCCACCTGGCACGGGGCGCGTTGCCCTGTGCTCGCTGGTGACGCCGGGGAAGGGTCGGCCCCGTGGCTGCTTCGGGGCTGTAGACGGCTCTTCAGACACTGCCTCCCTGCACGCAGGGCCACGGCTGGCCGCCTCGGCTCCTCCATCCACCCGATGAAAGACCTCGGGACCAGGCATGTCGCTGTGGCCAGAGGGAGAGAGCGGGGTGAGAATGGCGTCAGCAGACCCACAGTCCAGACACGGACGCTGCCTCTGTCTGTCTGTCGAAGTGGTGAAGAGAAAGTCCATAGGGATTTATTATTGACTCTCTCTCAACGACTAGGTCACAAACCGGGCCGTTCCTGGTGGAAATCACGGAGCGGGGAGGCTAGCGGGATTCGATGCCGGGCCCCGGAGGTCATAAACCAGCACTTTAGTGTTCTCTGTTTCTTAATGTTTTGATGGTGTGGGGAGAGGAGCAGGGAAGCTGGGTGTGCGCCGGGTCCCGCCTGCCTGACGTGTGCCCGCTTCCCTCCTGGCAGTGCGCGTGGAGCCTGGCACGTGCGAAGTCATCGCCGCCCACCGCTGCTGCAATAAGAACAAGATCGAGGAGCGCTCCCAGACGGTGAAATGCTCCTGCTTCCCCGGGCAGGTGGCGGGGACGACCCGCGCAGCTCCCTCCTGCGTGGACGGTGAGTATGGCCAGCCGGCGGGCAGGCGCGGGAGCTGTGCTCGCCAAAGCGCCGAGCGGGCGAATGGCTTCGCAAAGGGGTCTGGTTTTCAGACCCCTCGGTACATCGGATGCTTTTGGCTGGGGAGCGTCCCCGTTCCCACCCAGCGCTGGCCTGTTTGCTTCTGCATGCCTGAGACGGTGTCGTCTCCCATCCCCGCTCACCTGCAATGCAGTCGTGATGCCCCGGCACCCGCAGTCCTCCTAATGCCTCGTGTACCCCAGCCTCGTCTCGCCCGTCAGCAGCAGCTGGGATCACGTGAGATGAAGCATTTGGCCCGTCTCCACGTGGCCTTGCTTTGTGGCCTCGGGCAGGTCTCTGGGCCTGTTTCCCGGTGTGTCCTGCCTCTTGAGTAGGGTGCGCATACAGCCCCCGACCCGGCGCAGCTCTGATCTCAGCTGGTGTCTCCCTCAGGGATCGGCAGGGCAGGCCAGGAAGGCAGCGGGGAGAATTGAAAGTCACTTTTCTAAACCCCTAAAGAGGCTGGTGGGGATGTTTAATTTCCCCCCGCAGCCAGTGGGAGGGTTTGATTCACAATGGCCCAAAACACAGCCAACTTTCATGCTGCATTAGGTAGCTTTCTCTCCCTTCTCCCCTCTTTTTTTGCACCGGGAAACAGGGAGTGAGACGGGGAGGCTGGTGTGACTGGAGTGGGGAGCATGCATGAACCCTCCAGGCCCCCAGGTTTTTTATTCGGGAAGGCTTGGACAATCTGTGAGCCTTGCCTCCTGCGTGCAGAGCCCGCAAAACAGCTCCAGCAATCCCCAGCGTCTCCCCGCCTGTCTCCCAGTGCCCCAGCTGCATGCACCCACCCCGACCCATTGCTCACTGGCCCTCTCTCCCCGTTCCCGGCAGCCTCCATCGTCCTTCAGAAGTGGTGGTGCCAAATGGAGCCGTGTCTAGAAGGGGAAGAGTGTAAGGTGCTGCCGGACTTGTCAGGATGGAGCTGCAGCAGTGGCAACAAAGTGAAAACCACCAAGGTAGGTCTGCACGGCTGTGCCAGGCCACGCAGGCACCGTGGGACTTTTCCCCCTGAGGACACAGCTGCCTCCTATGCCCTGGCTAGCATGGGGCTGGCTTCCAGGCATCCAAGGGTGGCTTTCGGAGGCCCTGCCCTCCCTGCCCTTCCCTTCCCTTCCCTTCCCTTCCCTTCCCTTCCCTTCCCCGCCGGCTGCTCTCTGGAGCACCTGGCCCCTGGTTCCCGCCTGCCGTCACAGCGTGGCGGTGCCGTCGAGGGCTGCCTGGGATGGCGCGGCTCCCCTGGCTGGAGCAATCATCTGTGACAGAGAGCGACATGATTATTATTTTCATGCCTTGCTGAATGCCCCGAAGAACAAGGTATAATTAAAATTTTATCAAACTCATTAGTAATTACATGTATGTCATGGTTAATCAGTTGCATAATTCTGTAATCATTGTTCATGCAGTTGAGTGTAATTATTCTTTATGCTTTAGCCAAGCTCCCCCCCTCGTCCCCACCCCCCACCCCCTCCCTTCTGCACAACCCCGCTGCGAGGCCGGGGGACATCTCGATCGGGTTTTTGTGCGCGGTCGCACTAGAAAGTTGCCGCGGGTGTGAGAGCCGGGTCCTCTGCCACGGGTGTCCCGCTGCACTCGCGGCTGCCCCATTTGGGTACAGCTTGCCTGTTTTGTTTTCCCCAGCCTCTGTCTTGATGTGAAGTCCCTGCTTCAGGGCTTGACCCATGCTGGGGTCTCCCGGGGGTCTGTGCCACGTGTGACACCCGCGCTGCTGGCTCTCGGGCCGGTCTGGTTTTGTGGCAGGGAACAAAGCTGTCTCTGCCCCATCTCTGAGAACAGCCTCAGGCTGCCCTGGGCTTTCCCACCACGCTCGCTCGCTGCCTCTTAGACCTGAGGGCTGATGTATTCCCAAGTGACTACTGGGTCTCAGTGCCCGGCGTAAATAAGCCCATTTCTCAGCTGCCAAAGCCGAGCGCTCCTAGACCACCCACGGGCGACACGGGCATCAAACGCCCCATCGGGCAACTGCACCTATCAAACACGCTTGCATTGTCTGAAGTCTGGTGGCTGGTAGCTGGTGAGCGGGAGGATGGGCTGGATGCATTCGATCGGGGGCCATGGCAAACAGTGTGACCATTTCCATTAGCAAACACTCTGCAGAGTGAGCATCCTTGGGGGAAGCCCTTTGACAGATCATTTCAAACAAGAAATAAATGAGAGGCAAGTGTGACGTGCCCGCAGATAATCCGTCGGGGAGAGAAATCATTTCTCTGAAGAATTTTGTCACAAATGACTTGCTGCGCGGGGGGCTGGGCTCTAACCAGCCCGTCCAGACGGAAAGCATCGCCCGCCTCTGGTGCTCAAAGCAGGCTCCCCCAAATCATGAGCTTTAAAAAAAGCACATGCCGCCGGCTCTTTTTATCCGCCACCTGGAGCCCGAGCCTCCAGGTTTCATTCCGAGCATGTTTTCCAGCTTGTCCGTGCAACCACGAGGGCTATAATCGTCTTTGTTAATGAAAGCTGAGATTCTCACATAGGCGGAGGATGGCAGGGCCCCAAAGACAACCCTGGCTGCAGCCTGAGAGCCAGGATAACACGGGAGGAGCTGGCAGCACCAAACGCACGTTGCTGCCCCTCGAGGGGAACAGGCTCAGAGATGCAAGGAGCAGCAAAGAGGAATGGGGACCGGGAAGCACGTCTGTCCTGGCAGCGCTGTACTGGGTCCCGTCAAGATGCTGGGCTGGACTGGGCTGAGCTGGGCTGCTCGCTCCCTTGCTTGCCGTCGCTGTCCCGCTCTCATCGCAGCCTCAAGCCGGTTCGCACCGTTCCTCTCTGGAGGCTGGGCTGGAGCTGCCTTAGCATCCGGGTAGCTGACAAATAAGCACATCTCCGCTCCTTCGCTGGGGCTCGTGCTATGGACAAATTGTCCCCTGTATATTATTTTTTTGATGCTTCCAGTTTGATCTCCCTGCCATTGTTAATGGATTTGCTAAATTGC